AGGGTCTACTGATTTGCATACCAGACCTTTAGTGCCCTCAATCATATATTTCAATTTGGACCATTACTTTCCCAACCAACTTTGTTTCAACCACATATTTACACTGAGCTTGTATGTTTTCACTTTAATCTTTAAATATGTGCTATTATCACATCACTATTCATCATCTCTTCTAGACCCCAAAGTTGTGATAAACCAAAGTCAAGCCTGACAACAGAAAGCCCCTACACAAATAAAAAGTCCTGGCCCCACATCTGTGGCACAGTGGCTATGGTGCCAGCCACGTGCACCAAGGTTGGGAGGCTCAAGCCTAGTCCGGGGCAGCTAAACAACAATGACAACTACAACAAAAAATAGCCGGGCACTGTCATGGGCACCTATAGTCACAGCTACTTGGGAGGCTGAGGCAAGAGAATCAGTTAAGCCCAAGAGTTTGAGCTTGCTGCGACGCCATGGCACTCTACCAAGAGTGACATAATGAGACTCTGTCTCAAAAAAAAAAAAAAAAAAAAAAAAATAAAAAAATCCTAAATTCCTGTGATGTATAACCCGTAGAACAGAAAAAAATGACCAAATATATAAATAAGGTATACAATGATCTTCAGAAGACAGAACCAAAAATCAGGCCTGAATAATTTGGTAAGCAACAGAATTATTACTTTTCATAATATCATAAAATATAATTCTCTTAAGTGATTCTCTAGATACTCCTTTATTTGGGGTTCCTCAGATTAGCATAAATATTCATTACCTGAGTCTAGGCAAAAGTTTCTTATGACACAGAAGGCAAGAACCATAAAAGAAAAGATTAAGAAATTAAATTTCTTAAAAATTAAAAACCTCTGCTCAGTAATAGAATAGGCTAAGCCACAAATCAGAAAGACATTATGTACAAAATACTTGTCAAAGGATTTGTCAAAGGATTGATAGTCAAGATATATATAAAGAACTCCTATAAGTTAATTATAAAAAGGTAAATATAAAATATGGGCAAAAGATGTGGACATTTTACAGAAGATCCACAAATGGCCAATTAGCACACAAAGAAAGTGCTCTACATAATTAATCATCAGGGAAATGCAAAACCACAAAATCCACAAACTCTCCATTGGAAATGCGTACAATTAAAATGTCTTGACACCACCCATCCTTGGTTAGGATGTAGAGTAACTAAAAATCTTATAGACTTTTGTGGAGTATAAAATGATACAGCCATTTTGGGAAAAAGGTCTAGCAGTTTTTTATACAACCAAAAGTTTGACCAAATGTCTCTCCCTAGGCGTTTATCAAAAAGAAATAAAAAACGTACATTCACCAAATGACTTGGTTCACAAGGTTCAGAATAACTTATTCACAACACCGCAAACCAGAAAAAAACCCAACATGCATCAATAAGGTTAAAAAAAAAATGGTGGTATATTCACAGAGGAATGCTACTAAGCAATTATAAAGGCACAAACTACTGATAAATGCAACAAGATAGATGAATTTCAAAAACATTATGCAGAGCTTGAAAAAAGTACATGCCAAAGAGAATGCAGTACATGATTCATTCATATTAAGTTCAACTGGGGGAGCTTAATTGGAAAGGGACTCCCTGGGGTACTAGGAATGTCTGTACCTTGATAGAAGTTTAGGTTATACATTTGTATGCATTTGTCAAAACTCAGTGTATATACATTTACAATTTGTGCATTTTACTGTATGCAAATCTTACCTCAAGGACAAAAAACCTCTCAAAAATAAATTGTTAAAGAACACGTATGTTAAAAACAACAGAATAAAATTGTTTTTAAGAAAATAAATTCAAAACAATTTAGACCAAAGTATAATCTAAATTGAGTATATATGAAGGAACAGCACAACCCTTGTACTTACCCACCTGTCTTACCTTGCTCCCTGGTGTCCTCTGGGTCTCTGCTAAAATGCAATTTTAACAGAAAAGCCTAACAATCCTATCTTAACAAATACTCTCACTCCCCTGACTTTCTTTCTATCCCTATGTCCTACTTAATATTTATTCATGACCTTTACTGTCACCACAAGAACACATTTGTTTATTATATAATGTAATAATTTACCACTGGAATGTAAAATTGAACAGAACAAGCCTTTTTCTGGTTTTCTGTACTTTCAGAGCCTAGTAAAATATTCAACCCATAACTTAGACTTAATATTTGTTGAATAGACAAATGAATAAATATCACCAAGGATATGAATTATACCTGGGGGCAAACATTATGAAGGATTTTTGGGGGGGGGAGAACATTCTTGAACACATTATTCCATTTGCAACATTTCACTCAATTGTTATCAACTTGTGATTTGAAATGAATTGTAATAGAAAGGTTCTGCTCCCAGAAAGGCTGGCATTTCCACTGAAACCGTCTCTCTCCAACTCTTATTCAGTTCTCCCTCAGCAAGGAAGAGTGACTAATCTGATAGTTTGATATTCATCTGGCCACATTTTACGACAGAATGAGATCACTGAGGTAAGCTGCCCCAGGTTCTAATCAGTTTATCTACATTTTTTTTTAAAAGAAGACTTTTCAGATCTTGACTTTCTCAGCACCATCTCTGATTTGCTGGGAGGCAGGTCTGCAGACCTCATTCATGCTTCAAGTTGGATGCAGAGTCTAACAATTTGCTTTGCAAGTCAATGTCAAGCCTCTGCAGGCGACCAGAGTAGACTCATGATGGGAGGTTTCAGACCTAAGTCATGCTCTACAGTGTAGATTTTACCCAAGAACTTTGAATTGAGGGTTATAGTATACTTCCATGGATTAACAGTTTGTACCAATGTCACAATTGCACAGTAATCAAAGAATATATACCATATCAGTCAAAACACCACACAAGTTCTGAATGCCTACCTTAGGAAAAATATAAAAGAAAAAACATAAAAATAATGTAATACTCCATTGGTGCTAAATAACTTATTTTAATAAATTCATCTTTAATACAGGTGTAAAACAAAATTCCTGCCATTTAAACTATAGTCAAACTTGAACTTCAACTCTAATCAATAATTAATAACATGTTAATTTTAAAGTGTTTAACTACAAGAGTATCAAATATAATACAGAACTCAAATATCAAATACTTTGTCACAATGTTAAAAATAAATTTCTTAGTGTCCCAAGGCTATCAAAAGTTCCCCATGCCCAATCTTTAAAAAAAAACAAGTATAGTAGGGCAGCTCTTGTGGCTCAAAGGAGTAGGGCTCCAGCCCCATATACTGGAGACGGCGGGTTTAAACATGGCCTGGCCAAAAACTGTAAAAAAAAAAAAAAAAAACCAAAAATCAAGTATAATGGGAATATAGTTGTTAAAAATCATTTTTAAAAAACTTTTAATTTTTTTGAGTACTTCCAAGCCATTCAAAAATACCTGATACAGGTAGTAGGTTCATGGTTTGGGTAGAAGAACTCATGTCACAGAGTTGTAATGTTATAACTGGATTTTTTTTTTTTTTTTTTTTTGGAGACAGAGCCTCAAGCTGTTTGCCCTGGGTAGAGTGCCATGACATCACAGCTCACAGCAACCTTCAACTCCTGGGCTCAAGCGATTCTCCTGCCTCCGCCTCCCAAGTAGCTGGGACTACAGGCGGCCACCACAACGCCCGGCTATTTTTTGGTTGCAGCCATCATTGTTGTTTGGCGGGCCCAGGCTGGATTCGAACCCGCCAGCTCAGGTGTATGTAGCTGGCACCTTAGCTGCTTGAGCCACAGGTGCCAAGCCATAAATGGATTTTTAAACCATAAAATAAAACAAGAAAATCTAACATCATTTAATATTTTTGCTTCTTTTTTGTTTTACCAATAAAAAACCAGATTTAATGTCATAATTCTTCATTCTAATGGATTACCATATGAGGTTTTTGTTTTCTCTGTTAATGGTTAACTAGTTATCATCAAATACCCAAGGACAATTCTCCTTAGAGCTGAGCATTTTTACATGAAAGTAATTAGTTTTCATTTAAAATAAAATCAGTAACATATGTACATCCAGACTAAAATGTAACCACGTGCAAACTACTAAGTGAAATTCAATTAGAAAACTAAGAAATTAGCCAATAGAAAGAAGACAGAGGGAAAATTTTTAAAAGAAGATAACACCTTTCTTCAAATCATTAAGATATCTAGTACCAATGTATTCAGACCACCTAAGATTAGAAAGAACATGAAAAATGCTAAGAAAAACAATTTCTCCTGCAGTTAAAACAAGTATGTTTTTAGGAAAGAGAAAAAAAAAATAAGCTAAATTCCTCAAATGAAAATTACAAAACATGGGATTAATGATTTCTTAAAAATTACACCTTTGATTTTCTTTTGAGGAAAAAAAACAATAGTCTTTTAAAACAAGGGCATGAGAAAGACTTCAGATTGAGACCCATACTCAAGTTCTCAAAGAAAAGCACTACTAGTAATAAAATTTTGGTATTTTCCATTTAATGTGGGCAAAAAATATATTATTTATATCTGAAATATAAACTAGCAATTTATTTTCATTTATAATATAAAACATTTTAGGAAATGTTTATTCTTCTCAGTATTCAAAATTAAACAGGAATTATTTTTCATACCTAGCAATATATAATGGTTAATATGAAGTAAAAATTCAATTCTACTGAACCAAAGTGCAAATAGATTCAATTTAAAAATATGCATGAAAATACCTAAACTTTTAAAAAGTTTAAAATTTTTCTTATTTGCAAGGATAGGTTTACTTTTTCTAACATTTAAAAAAAATGCTACCTTCTCTCAATACAAACTATTCAAATAATCACAACAGAATCTTTTATCTCAGAAAAACAAATTCACATGATACACTCCTAATATTCATGAATTACAATCCAGAAAGTGGTAGTCTCCCTGAAACAGAAAGAATTTCTTTCTCTTTGTCACCTCCATTCCTTATAGATAATCTTTATTTCACATCATTTACATAGCAATATTATCACAGTCTGACAGGTAGATAAGAAAATTTTTTTTGCCTTCTAGAGCTTATCAAGTAAATTTATTCAGTCTTCTTAGCCTGTTTCTTTTTAACCTTATCTAAAGTTTCATCTACAGGTTTGGAGGCCAGCGACCCCATGCCATTGGAAGATGTCTTTGTTTCACTTTTCTTTTCACATAATGGAAACTGCTGCTGCCAGCCAAATAGCATCCGACTCAACATATCCTCAAAAGGAGAAAAAGTCGTAGTAGAAGTCTGCGTAACCATCATGGTCACCTGGAGACAAAAGTGCAATTTTGAATTTAATTACAAATGCTTTATGTTTCTCAAAACAGAGAAGTAAGAGAATTAAAAAAAAAAAAAAAAGAAAGAAAGAATTCAGGCTGAGTGCCTGTAGCTCAGTGGGTTGAGTAGGGCATCAGCCACATATACCATATATATATATATACCATATATACACACATATATATATACATATATATATATACCATATATACACATATATATATACATATATATATACATATATATATATACCATATACACCATACATATACCACATATACCACATATCAGCTGGTGGGTTCAAGCCCGGCCTGGGCCTGCTAAACAACAACGACAACTATAACAAAAAAATAGCCAGGCATTGTGGTGAGTGCCTATAATCCTAGCTACTTGGGAGGCTGAGGCCAGAAAATTGCTTGAGCCCAAGAGTTTGAGGTTGCTGTGAGCTGTGATGCCACTGCACTCTACCAAGGATGACATAGTGAGACTCTGTCTCAAAAAATAATAATAAATAAATAAAAAGAATTCAAAATACATTCTTAATTACCTGCAGAAGATGTTTACTAAGCTAGATCCTGGTAAAATCTCTGTTCTGTATGAATTTACACTTAAGGGAAAGAACACAACTCATTATAAATAACACAAGGTACTGTATTTGGTGCCAAAGGTAGTATAACCATTTTCCCAAAAAACATATTATTCACAATAAATAAAACAAAATAGCATCTGCAATCTAAATCAAACAACCAATACAGCCATCATTATTGTGAGGTTAACATTTGCCAGAACTTAGATAAGTACTTTACGTTATTATTATCTTTCATTTTAATCCAACAATTACTCTCTTTATTACCCTCCTCATAGACACGGTTAACCAAGGCTCTAAGAGGTTAACTAATTTGCCCAAAGTCACAAAGCTAACACGTGGTAAAGTAGTCAGAAACACCCAGATTTTGAGTTTAATTACTAAATACACTATTGATCATCATCTCTGAAAGATACAGACTCTCAGAAACTTGCAGAATATTGCCCACAAGAACTATGGAAAGCCTCTATCACTCAGTTTTTCCATAGATATTTTTATATGAAAGGAACTGAGACACCAAGAGGTAGAGTTGGGGAGAGCACCCAGTCCCTTATCTGGCAAAATGCAGTGTTCAGAGATACGTAGATTTTCTCAAGAATCTGCATCAGTGTCAAAATAGATCTAGGGGCGAACTTCAAGGCTAGAACAGTTCTAAAAAATCCAGGAATTTCCAAGAGTCAGATTCTCCAGGTCACAGATAATGAATCAAACTAGGAACTTTTGGAATCAAATTTCAAAAAAAGACCCCTAGATTACCCACTTGCATGGGGAAAATGAAATCAAGAATAAATTCTTACTTACTGCAACACAGTATAGGGAGTGAGGGTTTTGTCCATTACAAGAGGAATAGATAAGTAAAATACAAAGTATACAATACTTAGCTGTGATAAGTGGAAAAGTAAAAGGAAAAAATTCTTAAAATTTACTGTTAAATGAAAATAAAACAGAACAATATCATTTATGTAAATTAAAAATACACTTACACACAACCTTGTGAATGTATTAAATGCCACTGAAATGCATACATTGAAATAGCTGATTTTGTTTTGTGAATTTGACCTCAAAAAAAATTTTTTTTTTTTTTTTTTTTTTTTTTTTGCAGTTTTTGGCTGGGACCGGGTTTGAACCCGCCACCTCTGGTATACGGGGCCGGCGCCCTACTCCTTTGAGCCACAGGCACTGCCCACCCTCAAAATGTTTTTAAAAAGCAATTTTTAAACAATATATGCGCATGGACTTCAGGCCAGCCATGAAGAAATATCTTTTATCAGACTCAGTATCTCACCAAAATCAATACAGAAGTCAGAAATACATAAAATAACTGCTAAAAGACACTGAAGAACCACCTGATGAAGCTATTATCCCTAAGCAAAATAAAGTTGGATAAAGTGTGCTCCACATTCACCTGGCTTTTTCTTTTGAGGATTTGTGCCAATTCAGAGCACAGGGCAGAACTCCCAGTTGGCTAAGAACATAAAGGCTGGGTAAGAGAAGATCAAAGCCTCAAGGTCTTGAAGGCAAAACAGCCCACAGGGGACGGAATCTTAGGAAGTGAGCACAAATATCCTCATGTAATCTAGCCTGGAGGAGTTTTTACCATCCCCTCAACTATGCATAAGTAGGAAGGAAGAGAATTAGAAAGCCTACCAGACAGCAACAGCTGGAAGGCCAGGAGGTGAGCAGACACTACAGCAGCCAGCTGCTAAGTCCTGGGAAGCCAGGATGGAGTTCAAGGTCAGACAAGGTACAATTACTCATGGATATAGCTCAGACTTAAATTAAGAACCCAAAAAGAGTTACAATGTAGAAGGGCAACCCTGAAATAGAACAGCACTAACAAACTCTAAAACTAACCATCAATAAGATTAAAATAATGTTTGTGCATTACATCTGTCTGCCAGAAGAATGTTGGATGTGGTCCTTACCCTGAAGTTGCTGACAGACCAGTCAGAGACAGGCAAGTAAATCAGTAATAAAACAGTAAAGAGTTATGCAGTCATAGAGGACTTGCCCTCTACAAAGGATATAGATCTAGAAGTTATTACCACACAAGTGAAAGGTAAAGGCATGAATATGAATGTAGGTCACCTGGAGAGAATACAGAGTGAGAGTTGTCTAAATGTAATGTTAACCTCCAGGTGCAGGCACTTTTGGGTAAATCTAAGAACTTTTTTATATTAAATCATTCCTTAGAATAGTTACAATGAAATCTTGGTCATAGCTTGACTTAATTAACTGCTAATAAAAAGACAAAACAATTTGAATCAAAAACAATGGTTTACTGTCAGAAAAATAGCAATGTCTTTTTTACAAATTTCAAGAGAGAAGAGTGTCAGGGTTTAAAGTATTTCTGAGAACATGAACTATAGTAAGTATTTTTCAAAGTCAAATGTTTTAATAGAATTTCCAGTCCCAATAGACACATCACTCAGCTGAGTATTGTTGGTATTAGAAATTACTGCTGAGATAGACTTATGTGGTTCAAGGACAGACTTCTGTGGACTCAGCCTGTTACTAGACATAATTGTGACAAACAGAATAATAAACTCTTATTTTTTATAAATAAAATATAAAAGAAAAAGTATATACCTAAATTAAATAGCAGTTAGCTTTATGGTCTCTTACTTTAAAAGGAAACAAATCAAAGCAGAAGCCCTAAAATATTTTGGTATTTTCAATATATCCTAAAATAGAAATGAATTGAGGTAAAGAAATTATTTAAAAAGCTCTCCCATATTTTTATATAATAGCTCCAGTTATAGTATTTCAAAATGCCCAGAAAAATGTGACACACAGTGTTACTTAAGAGACCAAAAAGTACTCAGGTACTTTAATATTCTCTATACTGTGAATACAATGAATGAATGAATGACTGTAACATCTACCTCACGTGAATAATTCAAGAACAACTACAATATATCTATATAAGCAAAATTTGCCTAATCTTTCTCTTTCTAAAACATACTTCTTCCTGTCTCCACCCCCCAAATCCAAATAATCTTTTACAGTGTAATTCAAGTATATATTCCATTAAACCTTTATTGATGTCTTCCATGAACCCGATGGCCTGCCACATATAGATGTCATTCAATCAGACATCAGTAATATTAACCTAAATGATTCAGACAAATTAAAATTAGAATTTACATTTTCATAAATGTCTTTTTCAAAAAACTAGGCAAATGAATTCTTCATTTCTGGTGGACATCCTTAGATAAATAAGTGTAGGAGAATAAAGAAAACAATGAAAGAGCTTTTTGGTCATTTATTATTCATCAGTCAAAACATACACAGGATGTCCATAAAGTTCATGTGCAATCTAAAATGGCTATTTTACATTGCACATGAACTTTGGGGGCACCTGTATATTAAAAACTGACCACATGCACCAGACACAATGCTAAGAATGCAAAGATGAAGAAAGGAAACTCAGTCTCTGCCTCATAAAGTTTGAAAGTAGTATACATGTCTAACATTCTTTTTTTAAACAATAACATCTTGAGGACAGAGACTGAGTCTTATTCAAAGTTTAGATGACTATTTGCATCCCCAAAAGGGCCTAATGTATTCAACAATATATTATCTGAAGACACTTCTCAACAGCAGTCAGCACATCTATCCTTCTTAAAACCATCTTCTGGTTTTCCTCTTACTTCATCAATCATTCTCTTTCAGTTTCCCATTCTAGATCTTCCTTCTTTAAATAAGTGGGTCACTAAAAATATTTTGAGACAGACTGTGTTATGTGTTATGGTTCATTATTCACTTCCAAGAAACACAGTCAACAGCATCCTTCCTGGTACACCCGCCCAAATTTCAACTTGCTCAGCTTATCAATGTTGCAGGGAGGGCTTCGTTTGTTTCTGTCTCCACCATGGAGGTGGGAAGAAAGCACTTTCACAAGATGATTTTCTATGATTTTATAAGTGAGTCAAAGGTGTCTCAAAGCCCTGAGTGTTTGCAACAAGCTTTCAGGGACCCTACTCTTTCCCACGCCAACAACTTTTCAGTAGTTTCAAGAATTTTGAAGAGGCCAAACTTCACTGACAAGTAGGGAGAGGAGTGGGCATCCACTGAAGTGACTGAGGAAAACATCACCACTGTGGGAAAATGGTTCACAAAAACAATCAAGTGACATTTAAGGACACTGAAGCAGATGGTTCTATGGCAGGGTCCAAAAATGGCACGACTATCTTGAAGTCTGGAAAGTTTCATCTCAAACTCACACTTTGACAGATGAGCACAAGTGTATCTGAGAATGGTGTGAAGAAATGCTGGTCAGATTCAACAGAGGCAGGGCTAGACGTGTTTTTGACATCATTACTAGAAATGAAACCTGGATTTACTTACTGGTTTGATCCTGAGAATAAGCATCAGTTGATAGTGTGGATTTTCCCCATAAAAA